CTGAGCATTTCTGCAGGGAAGGTACTGGTGCATCATAGAATGAGGAATCTCTTAATCACTGACTCCAGGCAGCTGAACTGCACCTGCCTCAGCTCCTTCCAGGCTTGCCCACTGAGGACGCGGAGCCCTGGAGGAATTCCAGTCCTGCTCAGGGACGGTGGCAGGTGGGCTGGCAGCCAGCGGCCCGCACTGACAGCGGCCTGGGCGCTGGAGGGGGTAACCCAGGAAGCACGTGCTATCATAGCTGTTCCCGAGAGCATGGCACTGAAGAGGCAGACAGGCCACTAAACCCTGGAATGCAGCCAGAGCACTCAGTCTTTCCATGAAGTCACAAGGATTAGAGCTGATGTGTCCGGAGAATCTCTCGAGTCCTCTCAATCTGTTCTCCGAGCTCTTCCCTACCTTGCGTGACGACACTCCGCCCCCCGACCGCAGGCGCCGTGTGTGGAGTGTGAGACAGTGCGCTCCAGACTCGCACCCGGGGCCAGCGGTGGGGCTGTGGGAGCAGAGCTGCTGTCCCCGGCTGCTCCCTCTCCTCTGAGGGTGCTCGCAGAGGCTGCCGGGCAGGGGGCCGAGGGGCTGGATGGGTTTTGGAAGAGGGAGCCCTGGCGCGGTGCTGAGGGGTGCTTGCTGGCTGGCCCAACCGAGGTGTGTTTGCCCCCTGCGAGCGCGGGCTGCAGGGTCCAGGGCACGGCGTGGGCCTCAGAGCCCCCTCCCAGGCGGCAGCAGGAGCTGTGTGAAGCCAGGGAGGGAAGAAAGGCCCCCTCCCCCGCCCGCAGCTGGAAGCAGCTCTGCCGGCTCTGGCGTCTGCCATCCTAGGCGCAGAGAGAGCCAGCCGGCTCTTCCAAAACCGGGGGGCTCTCTTTTCGCCTCCGTCCTTGCCCCTCTCTCTGGGTCCTGGGGCCGGGGCTTGAGTTGCTCTGCATTCTGATGCTGGGCTGTGACCGCGTACCCTCTCCCCAGCACGCGGGAGGCCGGCTCGCTCGCCCCTTCCAGCGCGGGAGGGGATCTCACGCACGTTCGCGCCTTCCTCCCGGAAGCAACAGGCCCGACGGGGTGTGCGCTGGAGCGGCCGTCTGGCCGCCCCCGGCGGACTGGTAAGGCAGGAACGGGGCGGGGGGCAAAACCCCTGGCCCCAGAAAGCAGGGGTTCACCTGGCCCTTCGCGGGGGCAGGCGGCCTCTCCCACCCCACCCAGGGGCCATCCTGGGCAGGCCCCGGCCTCGGCGTCGGAGGAGAGGCCACCCGATGTGCGAGGCCCCAGCACGCCGTGCGCAGG